CGATATTTCAGTTATTGTTACATCCCTACAGACTATGAATTAAAAGAGTTACTCAAATGTGTGTGAATGAAACAAAACACAACTCAAAAGGTGCACTGTGTTTCAGGTTAAATATTATCTCAAAAATCTCAAAATATCAATATATCGAATCGTTTAATGTGATGATACAGTATAGACATCGTGGGCTGCTGTATCGATATATCACCAAGAGTATTTTTCAGTATATTTCACTAAATTATTTTGTTACAGAGCTACAGTTTTGTTGCTTGTTTAGAAGAAGGAAACTCATTTATGCGACACATTTGACATTTTCACTGTTTTGAGGATTAAAATGTTTGTGTTTCATATGAACTTGGACTTTTAGTATCACAGTCATGGTTAAAGCCTTTATTTTTTATTCAACAGTATTAAATCGATTTTAAATATATAGTATCTAATCAAAAGCTCACTGTATCGAGGTATGTATCGTATCGTGGCCTATGTATTGTATTGGCAACTTCTAATCATACCCAGCCCTATTAGAGACACTATTGCTTTGTCTGTAATGTTCCACAATAAAGTATTAAACTTATATAAAGTGCATTTATTAAATTATGGTTGTTTTTATTGCTCGAAAAAACACCTCTAAAACTGTGTATTCTTATTGTGAGTGGGGTCACCTCTTCACAGATCTCACCTTTAAGTTGGCCGGACGGCACCTCCAGCTCGTTTCTACTTTGGAATATTGGAACTAAAGCAACAGCATCTCCATGGAGACAAGTAAAGTTACACAGTGCACCTTTAAAGCTCACACGAGTCAATTTTGTATAATATAGGACCTTTGAGTATCGTTATATTTGCAAAAAAGCTTAGTAAATAGTTATTCTATTGCAAATAACATGTATTAAAACCTACTGATACATTTACGTATGAGTAACAGAGCGTCAACAAATAAATAATTGAAGGTGCATTGTGTAACTTTTTCTGGGGGAGGGTCCTTCAAATGCTTTTTTTTCCCATTAAGATGTTATTGCTTTGCCTGGAATGTTTGGCAGTGTGGCATTAAACATTTCTATCCTCACGGAGACCAAACAAGACCAAGTTACAGCTCAGATCTGTGGAGAGGCGATGCAGCTCACAGTCAGAATGCCTGTTTTTCTTAGGTGTTTTTGAGCTGTAAAACCACCAGTAATCGAATAAATGTAAAGTAGAGCTGATTAAAGTCACACTGTGGAACATTCCAGGCAGAGCAATGACATATTATCTATAGAAACAAGCAGACGACAAACCCCCAAACCAAAAAAGTTACAAAGAGCACCTTTAAATAATAAGATCTTGCATTCTATTCTGAGTTCCGAAGCATGTAAATAATGCAATTTTCTACAAACATTTAACAAAAAGATAATTCTGTAATGGTGCCTTCAAATGCCCGTTAGCTTCATGCTTTCTCTTCTTCATGCTCTTCTCTTTTCCCATGTTTCCCACACCACCTAGCGTCACGTCAAGGCTGAGCTAGACCATTCAACCGCTCTTTTTCCACCTTCACAACCCAAAACACGCTTTCAAAATGTCATCTTTACCACTACTACTACTCCAAACTGTTAAATATAAGACTATGTAGATTGAGCAGGGAATTCAATTTGAAGTTTATAGAAAAAAGGGCTGATTTAAGCTGGGAATGTTGTAAATAAAAGACAATGCCACCACCTATGTGTCAGAAAGCAGAATTTTCCATACACACATTATTATTGCTACAGTAGGGCTGCGAGGTTAATCACAAATCGAAACTGCAGTTTGAATGGATGCAATAAGTGTACCATAATTTCTTCCACAAACAACATAATCTCCTGTCTTATTCTGCATAAAAAACAGATAATAATGTAGTTTAGATCTGTACAAACATGCTCTGAAATGTGATTCTTATTATTCTTATTTTGTCAGTTCTGATTTCAGTCTTTTGGTCAATTCTTCTGGACACGTTTAAAATGTGAACTTTGAACAGAATCATATTATTAAAACCAAAAAAGCCTAGACTATATAGATAATTCGATTCAAAACTAAACTCATGCATGAAATAAAATGTCATCTTTAATGCAGCATATTCTTAAACACATTTGGCCAACAAAACGGCAATCATGTAATTGTTACTACACTGTCAGAAAGTTAACATTTTAACATCATGTCAAGATCATGGTTTTACAAAAAGTTAAGCCAGCCTCACAAATCCATAAGAGTTTGAATGTTTAAAAAGATGTACGATACTATTTTAGACCCAGAATTATAAAACATCACATTTTACACACACAATTTTTCCATTAATCCCATTTTTGGCATAAAAATATTAGCATTAAAATCATCTTGTAACATTTGTGCATATCTACAGAGTTAAATTGTGTAACCTTATTCAAATTGGACATAAAAGCTTTTGAATTACTGGTACCAAATTATGCAAATTGTAATAGAAGTTGCATTTATGAATATTTGAATATTTAGTAATTAACGTTCTGTAAAATAGTAGCAAGACTTCTCATTCAAAATACAGTTATATCATGCAAAACGGTCTATTCCTCGTACATATTTACATCTTGTATTGGGCAATTAATTCATCAAATTACATTTAAGTGTGATATTATATTTAACCACACATAAATATGCATGTATACGTCATGGGGTTATTACATAGGTGTTAATAGTTTCTATGTAGGTTCATAATGTGATTTGTATCATTACATTGAAGAATACGTGATCAAAAATACACAAATTTACAAGTATTTCATAAAGAACTATTGTCATTTAGCAATCTAGTTTCTTGGAATATTTGTAGCATAACAAAAAGATGATGTAACTGTCTTTATGTGAGAGTCGAGCAGGTTTTTTAACGGCAGACTACAAAATACATGTCAAAAAGGGTAAATTATGAGATCGCTGGGAATAAGAAGAATGCCAGTTATGTTGGACAAAGTTACTCGAATTTCCATATATTTCTCATTGTTCGTGTATTTGTTATTGTTCTACGGATTACTCTTTTGCACATTACGGGAGTTCAGTTAATTATTTAGTTTAATATTGCGTTCGTGGGAGTAAATCACGCGTTTATTTAACCAATTTTTGTGTTCATTTGTGCACAATACGACACACAAAACGACAGCACAAATGTATAATACTGAAAGCTACGGTGCAAGAGTGGGTTACGTGATGTCGTTGATGCAAAACAACGCAATGCAACGTTGTTTAGGGTGTAATAGCAAGTTTATTACGATTCCAAGGTGCTTTTGAAGGTGTTAAAATGGATAAAACCGTAGCTATTTTTTTGCCTAGCCGCAGGTGCAAAGATGGGAAGAAGCTAACTAGCCGCCTAGCTTTGGTTGCTCAAAAAGGGGCCTTACTTTGAATGCATGGGCCGGGGTTAGCCGTTTGTTTTGACAGCAAATCTGCACCTTTTTTCCCATTCCCAAACGGGTTAAACTACTGGCAATGTGTGTGTTTTGTTTTTAAAGGGTAAAATTATGAGTTGAAAACGATACCTTTATTAGTAGGGCCTTATTTCTGGCGCCATCTTCATGAAGCTTCTGAAATCCAAATAGTGAACTGCAAAAAAAGCGACAACATTGAGCACCGCTTGCACACGCAGGACAGCTTTTAACACATGCAAAAGATAAATTAAGCTTTCTTTTAACGTCGTGCGTGTTTATAAGTGCACGGAGTAGCTATCCAGACCTGTCAATCCCGGCTAAAGTGTCCCGCTCCTGGGCTGTCAGAGTCGGAAAGTCCTCTTCGGCTTCACTCGCTTTTCCCGCCGCCATTTTGTTTTCCTCATCACTACCACCACCACCAGCGCCACACGGAGCAGCAGCAGCGGCCGTGCCCGAGCTGAGGCTTCGGGCAGCGGCTACGGCAGTGCAGCTCGCAGCGGCGGCCACAGACACCCCACCAGCGCACGATTGCATGGAAAATCTGCCCGCGAACTCGCACCGATCCACCTATCCACCAAACCGCAAGCGTAGGAGCGAAAACCGACAACAAAAACGAGCAAAAGTTTTCCCACAAGATGAAAAAAGATGCGATTCGGAATAGTAAATCTGTTAGGGGCAGTCAGTGTAGCAGCGGTGTCCGGGTAACATCCACAAGCGTCACATTTTAGGCCCGAGGAAGTGATGCCAATCCGGGTTGAATGCAAAAAAACAAGAATAATATCCAATGTATGGGGATTTGTGAGTAAAATGCGTTTCGGAGCGCAGATAAAGTTGTTATAATTGTGTCACCCGAGCGAACCCACGCGCTGAGCTGCACCCGCCCTCTCCTCCCGCCTCGGCCAATCACGGCGCTCAGATCGCACCACGTGACCACCGTTCTTTTATTCTAAATTTTTAACATTTCGTCCACAAAAGCTTTTTTCATCACCTAAAATGTTTTAAAACTGTCATACGCAACATTCCGCTTATACAAATTAATTTTAGTAAACGCTAACTCGATATTTTTGTGTTGTTCCAAATAAAACGTATTATTTACAGTAATAAGTACTTAGTTACTAGTTTATAACAATGTAATTCATGTAGGATAAAGGATAAAATCACCGAATTTGCATTGTGTGTAATTTGCATCGCGTAATCTCATTCCTTCCTTAATATTTCTTATTATAAAAGCCACAAAAATTCTAAAACTATAATTCAGTCGTAATAAACAAAAAATAAATAAAATAATTAAATACAAAATAGTAATATATATGCCCAGTTGAAGCTTAAATAAATGCTGCAAATAAATAAGGCAATTTCAAATTATATAAAATAAAACATAAAATTAATGTACATATTTTGTTATAATTATTTATTTAGATTTAATTTAGTACATTTTTGCATTATTTTTAAGCGAGTGGCACCTATAATAATAATAAAAACTCAATAAAGCCCGTCAAAAAAACTGCTCTTTATGTTCAGATTAAACTTAAATCTATATTACTAATTAAAACCACAAAAATATAAAATTAAATGTGTAGCTTTTTAACGATAAAGTTGTTTATTTCTCGAAAATAAAATCCCACATAAAATCGTTGGTGTGACGTGGCGCGGGGGGGCGTGGCCTGTCATTGTCAACATCCTGGTGACGTAACGCGCCTCTCCAAAATGGCGACGGTCGATCACAGAGAAGGTTAGTGGGGCTGTTTCGCACAAAAACACGCCGATTTCTGCTTTACGGCGCTGCGGTTGCGCATATTTACATCGGAAATATACGTGTAAAATGTGACACGATTCGAATGCTGTTTTAAAAGCGAAGAATTACCGGGTTTTGTCATTGTTTATGTTCGGTAGCCATTTGACGCTAGTTCATGTTAGCTCCAGAAATCAGGGCGTAAACAGAACAGGCGATTCATTTTAGATTCTAATATCGATAAAACAACTGATCAGAGTGTTTGCCATAATGAAAAACACACTTGAGCACATTAAAATAGCTCATAATAATGTAACAGTAACGTGTAATATAAATTTATGTAGGGATTATTTAGATATTTGAGGTTTTGTTCTGTTTTTCAAATGTGCAAATCTTGATTATGATCTAGAAAATCCTATGAATCAAAGTAATTGTACGTGTATAATGATTAGTAAATAAATAATTATAGATGGGTAATTGTAAAACACTCCAAAACTTTCTTTTATAAGAGCTTGAACTAAATTACATGCAATAAATTACATTTCATTTGTGTTTTTTGTACGGGAGGTACAGTTAAATACAGGTTAAAGTCGCAGGTTATAAGAATTTATCCTTTTTATATGTAATAATCAAATGTATGCCATCAAATCTAAATAAAAAGGTAACAAATTACAGTTATTTTTAAAGCTGCGCTATGTAACTTTCTGGTCTGTCACCTGTTTGTTTCTATGGATATGTCATTGCTCTGGATGGATTGTCCCACTGTATGACAATAAATAGCTCAGGTGGTTTTATAGCTCAAAAATATCCAGAAAATCACAATCACAATCGCCTCTTCATAGATCTGATCTGTGTCTTGGTCTGGTTTTGTTTCCATGACGACAGAAACGGTGAAACATTCCAAACAAAGCAATAACATCTCCATGGAGGAAAAACATTTGACCGACCCACCTCCAGAAAAGTTACGCAATGCACCTTTAAGAGATAATGTTTGAACGAAAAGCAAAAATAGAAAAAAAAAAACGACCTAAATAGCTGCCCTAGGTCAAAAAAAGCGCTTATAACAGAAGAATTGGCTTATTGATTGATCATTGATTGCTCCTCTCGTGTTTTCAGAGGAGGGGGAGAGCGAGGACGAGGTGTACGAGGTGGTGGACCTGACGGAGTACGCGCGCAGACATCAGTGGTGGAGCCGCGTGTTCGGGAGCAGCTCAGGACCCATCGCTGAGAAATACTCGGTGGCGACGCAGCTCATGATGGGAGGGGTCACTGGATGGTACAGATGTCAAGCTTATCTGCATGTCATAGTACTGAACAACTTGGGGAAAATATCGATAGCATTCTGATTTGCAAATAGTGATTTATGGTTTAATCATTTTTATGTATTTATTTTTTTATTATGGGCAACTAAAACATTTTCCGTTGTTTTATAATGGAACACAGTGTCATCCATATTGACATCAGTGCAGTCGTACCAACAAAAACAACAACAACAAAACTGCCCAAAAAGGAGTGTAAGTTAACAAAATGAGCTTTATTTTGCTTTCTAAATATTATTATTTTGTTCAACGTTTACATTTTTCATACTAAACTACAGGGTTAGCAGTTTTTATGCAGAAAAGCAAGACATTTTGTTGTTCTTTGTGGAGGAAAATGATGGTACTTCAAAAATTACTGCCTTTGTGATTTGATAAGTGAGTCATTTAAAGCTACAGCGAAGGGCTAAGTGTTGCAAGCCTAAATAATAATTCAGAAGTAATCATAGTTAAGACCAAGAAGATATAATAAAGGTCAAACATATAAAATAAATACATAGGCAGATAAAAGGGACAGTTCTGCTAAAGAAAGTTATTGCAATGATGTGTGAAATGCTTTTAATATTGAATAAAGTAAAGTATAATTACATTTTCTATGTTTCTGATTGTACAGGTGTGCAGGATACTTGTTCCAGAGAGTGGGGAAGATCGCTGCGACTGCTGTGGGCGGAGGATTTCTACTGTTACAGGCAAGTGCTTAATAATAATTCAATTCAATCTTTATTAAGAACACGTGATATCTGGTTCATAGTATTAAAAAAGAAAATAGTACGAATAAAAACGTTAAATACAGTGCATGTTATCATGTATATCGACAAGAGCACCAGTGTCTCCACAGCTTAGAGGTGAATCTGACAGAGCTCCTCACAGGACACACGAGAGCTTCAATGATTCGATTGCTCAGATTCATGGCTCTACACATAAATTAATAAATACAACATCTGATTATGACAGCACAGGGTCTCACATCACAGTTTACAAACATTTCACTGGCGCTGCAAAACCTCGGCACTTTCATTAATATTCTCAAAGAGTCGTTATACGCCACGGTCAAACTCTGCAAACTCTTTTTCTTGTAGTTGCGCCAAAGATGCGCAGTATACAGGGGTGAGCAAAAACATTTAAAAAGTGCAATTTTTGACATGAACTTGCGGACAATCGTCATGATCATGATGAATGAGAAGATTTAAGAAAGAAAGAAAGAAAAAAATCGAGATAGTTTTATGGATGAACTTTTCTGGAAAGTCACTTTATCTCGAACACTATCTTATTCATCCGTATTTCTCAAACCACCTAAAATTGCCCCACATTGTAGTTAATATAGTGCTTTTTGTTGTATTGCATTATTTTTTAGTATTAGCACGTAGGATTGATAAAATACTACTGCTTCAGCTGCACTGGGGTCGACTGAAATTCATTTAATCAATAAATCAATCAATCAATTAATCAAACTTTAGTTACAGGGCTCTTTAGAACACTCAGGGCGGCCAAATTGCTTTACATTACAGTAAACAATGAAATAAAACAAAATTTGCAAAGTTTCACTGCATTACTGAGTGTTAAAAACATCGTCAGTTGACTTTTTGTGAAGATTTAGTCTTGTATCTCTGCTGTAGACTAGATCCATTCAAAAAAAAAGGCCAAATTTTGTCTAAACTATGTCACGTTTTTCAGTATCGTATATTCAAATTAGTGTCTGGTTTCAGTTCTTGTTTTAGTCTGTCTGTGTGTGTGTTTTACCTTTTACCTTATTTTACTGTAACATCTGCTGTAAAGTTAAAATGGTATCAATTTGCCCCACTTCTGCGCGCCATAAAACTTGTAGACAGTTTTATCTAGATCTGAACGTGTCAGTAGGTCAAGAAGCTGTATCTCTTATCGACACGCCATAAATTGCCAGGATACATTAGAACAGTAATAAAAAAACAAAGGAGAGATAAACTAAAAAGGGACGCTGTCATTCCAGATTGCCAATCACACCGGGTACGTGCAGATCGACTGGAAAAAGGTGGAGAAGGACGTGAACAAAGCCAAGAAGCACCTTAAAAAGCGAGCGAACAAAGCCGCGCCCGAAATCAGCACATTCATAGAGGAGGTAAAGGTAGCGCACATTTTCTACTACGGTGTTGTCCAAGTCTGTTAAAGCAGAGACTTAACCATTTTTTTTAGCTTCTTTTGATTCAACCCTCATATTGCAGTAAATACAGTTAAATTGGGGGTAACATTACTTGTTTTGAGAAGTAATTTTGATCACTTCGCAACATTCTACAGGCCATTTTTATTTAATACAGATTGGCCAGATAAAATAAATAAAGTTAAAATGCAGATTTGTGTTGTTATACAGTGAGTTCTTGGGTCTAGTCACTCAGAGAAATGTTCAGGTTCAACATTTTTTTTGGATTTCTGGATACTTCATGGCAAAATACAACACAAACATGTATCATTTGTTCATTCGTTTTTCAAAATAAAACCAAAAATAAGAAAACCAAAAAAAAAAACTATTTTCTTCATTATTTTTCTCCAAAACCAAAATGAAAAAATGGATAACGATTCGTTTTTTCAGTTTTCGATTTTGTGTTTAAATGAATAATTTCCCGTTTACGTGACTTAAACTGTGATGCCGGACTGAACCAGGACTGAACAAGGACTATAACCGGACTAAACCATTTTCAGTCCTGGTCTGGTCCCGGTCATGGTCTGAATCATGGTCTGAATCATGGTCTGAATCATGGTCTGAATCATGGTCTGAATCATGGTCTGAATCATGGTCTGGTCCTGGTCTGTCCCGGCCTCACTTCCGATCTCAGTCCTGGTCCTGTTCCCGGTCTAAATCCTGGTCTCAGTCCCAGTCTGGTTCTGGTCTTGTCCCAGACCTGGTTCAGTCTGTATGCAGCCATTATCCGTTTTTTCCATTATTCATTTACCCCAAAATTGAAAACTGCAAAAAATTAGTCATTATCTGTTTTTTCATTTTAGTTTTGGAGACAAATAATGAAGAAAATAGTTGTTTTTTCATTTTCTTATTTTTGGTTTTATATTGAAAAACAAATTAACAAATGATACACGGATTCAACACAATCATCAAATATCTGAAAACCAATACTTTAATTTGTGGATAACAATTATTTAGCTAAAAGTTATGAGAAATGTACTTTTTACTTTTTTTCTTTAATTGTAGCTTATTTTATTCTTTGATTCTGGTTCTTTGATTAGATTTTTTTTTTTTTTTATTAACAAAACGTGTTTCATTTTCTTACTTTTTCATTGATTAACAAGATAGCATGAAGTAGGTTGTTGTATATTTTGGAATTGTTAGTTTTAAATACAAAACATCCTACATTTCCTGCTTGTAAAATGTACATATAAACAACTTTTGCTGAATTATCTCACTATATTTATTTATTTACCAGGACTATATGATGTTCTTAATGAATGATGTCATCTGAAACTGTCCAGTCTTGACAATTCTGTGACAATTCTTCTTTGTTTGACCCAAATTTCACCATAAACTGTCTAATATATTTTTCTGTCTTTTTCACAGGCGACAGATTTCATCAAAAGAAACATCGTGTTGTCCAGTGGTTTTGTTGGGGGATTTTTCTTGGGAATCGCGTCATAAAAAAAACAAAAACAAAAAACATCTCCACCCTTTCCCGCTCTTCCTCCTCCTCCTCTCCCTTTACTGTGAAATCACTACATGAGTCACTTTATCCTATAGACTTTACCTCTCATTGCTTAAACCAGTGTCTCACAACCCGTTTTCTCATGTCACAATTACTCCCCTGTAACTTAAAAACTTACCATATTTTTTGGATTATAAGGCGCAATATCAATAATGTTGAATTCTCTCGTTTATTTTCATACATAAGTTGCACTGAATTATAAGCTTCAAAGTCGTACTAAAACATGTTGACAGATTTTTGAGCGCCGTGTACCACATAAAATCAGTTCGAGGTCAGTCAGCACAGCCAGAATTAATATATAAGGCGCACTGGATTATAAGGTGCATTAAGCGAAACAAATGGACAACACTTGAGACCGATCCTAATTTAAGTTTGGAGTTTTGTTTCCTACGAGGACAACTCAAACATACACTGAGTAATAATGTGTTTAATGCAGCTTTGAGCACATTTGTTTACGTTTTACGGAAGCTAAACTTAAAACCACATGACTCATTTGCATAAACTATAAGCGCTGAAAAAAAACAAAACAAAAAACAGGTGTGGCTTTGTAGTTTACCAAAAGTTGTACTAAAACATTTTGACAGATTTTTGAGTGCCGTGTTCCACATAAACTCGGTTCGAGGTCAGTCGGCACAACCAGAATTAATACATAAGGCGCACTGTCGATTTTTGAGAAAATTTTAAGATTTTAAGTGCGCCTTATAGTCCGAAAAATACGGTATAAAGTAAATAAGGTTTTAACACGATATTTAAAACAAGTTTATAAATAAAAATGAATTTTCAAAGCATGCAAAATACCGTGTTTCTACCTCCCATGCATGTTTGAGTATTGCCATCTCTCCTTTATGGTTAGCAGTACGAGTCTGTACAAGGCTCCGCCCACCAGCCTACGTCACGCACGCTCCCGCACGATAATTCTCCATAAATATACAAAAACATGATACAAAACTGTACACTATGACTTCACAAGCCTGACGCGATGTGCGGTAGTTTCATTAGCGGGACACACGTGCTCTGAAGGGGGAGTGACTTAGCGCCTGGAGCAAAGGGAGGACGACTGAAGTGAAACTCATTATACGTGTTAATATATTGTTTTTGGACGAATATAACATTTTCAAAACAATAAACGGTAACACGGTGATCTTAATGTGTTACGTGTCAGCAGTTAATTCCTCGTATTTACGGGTACGCGCCCCCCTGGTTGAGAAACACTGGTTTAAATCACTCCGTCATGTACTTGAACACTAAAACAACTACTGTATTTTCATTTTTGCTCGGCGTGTAGTGACTATCTGACCATCACAAAGCTTTCCTACTTGTTTTGTTCGATTTGCCAAAAACAAAAAAAAAGTGTAATTTTTGGGGACTGAATGTTGAAGAATGTAAGAAAAGATGTGAATTTCTCGGAGTCGGGAGTTGAAGTTGTGTTTTTTGAGAATCGTGGGCGCCATTGCAAAGAACAATAAGATGTTGATGATGTAAATAGTTAAAATGGGAGATTACCGAGTTTTAAAGGGATAGTTAGTCATTTAGTCAAGGTAGGAGTAGTAAAGAACTAACCCTGGTCTTAAACTGGTCTAAATGTTGATAAGAAACTAGGACTAAACCAGATCTGAACCAGGTCTGAACTCATTAAAGTGCAATTGTATTTTTAATAGAAGAAACTAGGACTTGTCTAGATCTGATCAGAGACTAAACCAGAACTAAACCAGTTTTTTCCACTGGTCTGAATTGTGAAAAGTACTTATTTGAGTTTTATAGCAGAAACCAGGTCTAAACTGGGTCTAAACCAAGACTAATCCAGCATGAAACCAACTTTTCAGCAGGTCAAAATTTTTAAAAGTTCTTCTTTGGGATCTAGCATAAACCAGTACTAACTCAGGACTAATCAAGGACTAAACTGGGTCTAAAGCTTGAAAGTGCAATTATTTATTAAAGAGAAGAGACTAGGACTTGTCTAGATCTGATCAGAGACTAAACGAGAACTAAACCAGGTCTTCAGCAAGGTCTTAATTTTGAAAAGTTCTTGTTTGGGTGCTCTAGAAGAAACCAGGACTAATCAAGGACTAAATTAGTTCTAAACCAGGACAAAACCAAGTCTTCAGTAGGTCTAAATTTATGTATGTAAATGTAAGTATGTGTTTGGGTTCTATAGAAGAAACTTGGACTAAACTGGGACTAATCCAGTACTAAACCAGGTCTTCAGCAGGTCAGATGTCTGGGTTGTATAGAAGAAACTTGGACTAAACTGGGACTCAACCAGGACTAAACCAGAACTGAACCAGGTCTCAACATAAGTCTAAACTTAAACTCAGGTTGTACATATTTAAAAAAAGACTAAATAAAATCAGATACCAGCCAAAACCAGGACTAAACCAGGTCTCAGTCTGAAGAAATATGGACTAACCCAGGTCTAAACCAGGTCTCAGGCTGTAGAAACAAAGACTTAAGGCTAACCCAGAACTAAACCAAGACTAAACCAGGTCTAAACCCGACTCAGTCCAGCTTTATTCCACAGTAACAGACACTTACAGTAATTTGATAAATGTATAAATCTACTTCTTCATTCCTAGTTTAGTTGTAATTGTACTAGTAGAAGTTGTGTAAAATTACTACTACTACTCCTACTCTCAAATACTAGCTATCCCTTTAAGTACACAAACAAGTATTTTATTATAACGCAGTGGAAAAAGACGCCCACACCTGAAGCTCTATACAACACATATCATTGTCTTAAATATTCTGTGTATTATTCTTTGTTTTGTGTTGGGGACGTTTTTGTTTTTTTTTTCTCCTTAATGTGACTTTTTAAAAATATTTCCGAACACGTTTTCATCTCTTAAAGGTGCACTGTGTAACTTTTTCGGTTCGACCAGCTTCTTGTCTCCATGGAGATGAGCTATATTTTATTACAAGTGTTTTATTGCTCAGAAAAAAAACACCTTGAGAAAACAGAACTTCTTGCTCTTGATTCACCTTACTCACCTTCGCTTGATCGTCTCCATGGAGATGTTAGTTTAATGCCATACTGCGGGACATTTCAGGTTTTAAAATCGTGCTCTAGTCCAGTGCAGCAATTTCGCTTTCATGCAAAAAAACAAACAAACACTAAAAACAATCTAAAATTAAAGGTCTATGTTACACAAAATGGACTCTTTTTGTGAGCTTTAAGCCTTGTTTTAGCAAATTACTGGTCAGATCTGTGGAGAAGCGAGCCCACTCACAGTAAATAATGCGTATAAAGCCGCACGGAATTAACTAAATTTAAGAAAGATGTGTTTTTATTCCATACTGTGGGAAATTCCAGGCACTGCAGTTGAATACCGGCTCGAATGTCCCCCCTGGCTTGAAAGTCCCAGCTCGAGCGTCCCATTCTCTTGGCTTGAACGTCCCCCTCCTCCCTCGAGGTGCTCCCTTCTCTCGGGCGGCACTCGGGTAACTTCTGTGCCCGGGAGAGTTATCGTAGAAAATCAGCTTCTATATCGTAATAAACTGAAATGTGAATGTAGCGAGACCAAATGTCGGGCCTTGTTTATGACATTTTACCGATCTTCCTGAAGCGGCACACATCACGTTCAAATTATTTTTTCTTGCCCTCCACGTCCTATAGCATCTGTAACTGTTGATTTGGGATGAAATATTAATTATTTCCTGACCTGCCAAGAACATAATTTGTAAACAGCGCAACACAAGAAACTTGGAACGCTACAGAATTTGTTCAAAAATCATTCAGAATCACTTTTAGGAAGGTCATAACTATGTATTTTATTGACATATGTAAGATCAAATTCTGGAATTGTTGCTGCACAGTTGAGACCACATAATTTTTTATTTATTTTTTATTCAAATTGTTATTGAATAAATTTTTTTCCCTTCATCTTTCTTTCATTTCACATATTTCTCTATTATAGTATTAAAAATGTCTTTTTTTCTTTTTTTTCCCCTTATTCCATTGAGTAAAAAAGTTTAAAAAATTAATAAAAAAAACAATTATTTGAACATTTAAGTAGCAGTGGACAGGGATTCTCACTAATGTTCCTTTTTTTTTGTTTTTTTTTTAAATAAATGTTTGGAGACTACATAATTTTTTGCATGTTTTTTTTGTATGTATGAACAAATGTGTTGACTAATATTGTAACTTGTGTGTGTAATTTTTTTTTTTTTCATATGTATATAGATTAACTAACTTAATTTCATAAAGGGGACAATTCAGGGGACTCTCCAGCCAGCGGGACTTTCCAGCTGAGCCAGAAAAGTTACGCAGTGCACCTTTAAACTCTCTAAATGGCTCACTTTAGCTTAATACGTTCACTTTAATACGTTAATACGTTATCGTATTATTATTGTTTATTCACTACTAATGTCAAGTTGCTGTACTAGAACAAATGCTGTAGCTCAAGCTGCCAAAACTACATCCACGACGATCCTCTACGTTACTAAAACAGTTGCTAACGTCCAAATAATTATTGTTATTGTGTGCGAAATTCCTGTTTTAAGATCAGATATTGTTAAAAGTTTAGATTCAGAGCAGGTGGATTTATAATTTTGAGGGAGATTCGCTGTTTTTGAAAGAAATCTCCAAACTTCTGACCCACAAATGTTTCTTCTTTGCATTATTTGTTTGCGATCTTAATCTTATGGTTCAGTCACGTCTTTGGGGTTGAAAAATTGTGCCAATTTTTGAAGCTGTTGTGATAAAATAATTTCACTTTTGTTTATTTTTATTGACAGAGAAGAGGCTGAACTTTGTGCCAGTTTTGTTTCATGAGGAATTACACAAAAACGAATATAAACCAGCTCAACAAATCTTTTATTATCTGTTCCCATCTCAATGTTAAACAATTTGATCTTAAAACAGTGAATTTCTGATGTCTGATAGTTTAATTTCAGCCTTGTTTTGCTTTGTTTTACGTTCACTTTTGCCTTTTTTTGTTGAGTGCAATTGTACAAAAAAAAAACAACGTGTCTTTTGTTCATGGTTTTCTTGTTTGCAGCTGTGTGGGTTGGCTCTTGTGTCTCATTTAAAAATAAAGTTGTTTTATTCTTATGATAACCGAGTACTTTTCTCTGTTTTCCATGGATATGTCATTGTTTTGCCTCAAATGTTCCGCAGTGTGACTTTAAACAGCTCTACTTTAGATTTATTCAATTGCAGGTGGTTTTATAGCTCAGAAATACCTAGAAAAATAGAGGTGCTGAAATCTGCCAAAACCCTGGATAGGAACAGAAGATTAGAAGAGGGCATCCTTATATTTTATGTTCAAACACACTGAACATGTCTGAGGTCACACCACTACACTTGAGGCCTATTATAATTTTAAATATAAAAAAAAACAAAAACGAGATGGCCATTCAAACTAACGTATAATAGGACCTGTAATACGGTAGTCTGATTTATCAGCTGAATTCACTTCGTAGAAACCATCTGACCTCGCAGCATTAGGATTCATTCTCTAGACGGTAGGCGGGTACTTTTTTTTTATTTAACCAATCGCTGCTGTTTGGTCGTGACGTACAGTACGTAATGCGCCAAATCCTGTAGGAAGAAGGACAATAACGTCTTGATAAAATCACATCACATTCTCTTTGTTCCGGCTTTAAATCCTTGATCTTGGGAATCGTTGCCAACACAAAATGTACCGTATTTTCCGGGCTATTAGACGCACTCTTAAGCCTCCAACCCCATCAGAAATCGACTGCGCCCCACAATCCAGAGCGCCCTATACACGAATCCACTCCGGTGAAAAACGAAAAACACCCGCAGCCACACTCATCGCTCCACGCCGACGAGGAACGGAACGGGAGGAACGAACTGAAAAAAGCGAGCGCAAGACACGACTGAACAACCAAGTCACTGCGAACACGCCGACAATCCGTTGGTCCCAGACAGCACCCTCCCTACACGCCACAACCGAACAAAGCCCAGAGTCACCGTGAACGCCACAAACAAACAATCCGGTGCGGTTTATTTGTGAAAAAAGTTTGAGAATAGACCATTTAATGACAGTGCGTCTTAGAATACGGTCTGTCTTCGTCTACATCCATCTCAACGCTTTGTTTACTGTTCCACTAAAGGGACCCAGACAGACACTCGAGTTTGACGTCATGGCTTCACAGCTCTTCACTGATTGGCCGGTGTGCGGTCTATAACTTCCGGGTTTCTTACAAATCGTCTAGTGTATTCCGATTCCTGAACAAGTCGCTGGAGAGAAATGAAATTGAGCGGAGGCACTAGGTCTTAGTTCAGATGACAAACAGACAAACAACATTATAACAAAGATGAGAAAATGGTGTAAAACAGGCCCTTTAATAGCAAAAGAAACTATGAAATGTATGAGGAATATGTGGCACAGAATGCTCCATTATAAAAATAAGACAATGACAGTGTTTTAACAACTGATAGGTAAGAAATTATTTTATTTACAACTATAAAACAGATGAAAAATACAGATATATTTACAAGAAAAAGACCCAAAGCGATGCCAGTCCAAACTACATGCTGCCATAATGTTTAAATGAGAATATGAAGCTGCTGTTAACGGGATGATTTAAGCTTTAAGATATAAAAAAAGACCAAGGAATTTTAAAATATATGTTCGTTCAGATGGGCATTTTGAGAAGAGCACATTCAGTGAGGAGGGACAGGGTGGTGATCATGTATCTGCTGTTGGAAATCTGAAAAACACACACACAAAAAAAAGTATATTAGACAATTTTGGTTTTTAATTTCAAAGTTTATTCAGATAGAAACGGAGGCAGAGGAGTTAAATTTGAGATGGCTGCAGAGGGAGAGTGAATACATGGTACAGACAGTTCGTACAGTCATGGAAAACCTGGAAAAGTCATGGAAAATTGAAATCAAAATGTCAAACCCTGGAAACGTTTTGGAATTCTGCAGTTTTTTGGAAAAGTTATGGAACATTTGGGTTCAAAAAATAAATGTCCAAGCAAAATATACATCTGGGACTGCTGCTTTTTTTTTTTTTTTACTCCAGAAAGTTAGTTTAGTTAGTTGTGAAATGTACAATTATTTATGATTATTTATTTATTAAAGTTGCGCAGTGGTTATGGAGAAATCATGGAAAAGTCATCGGAAACCTCAACATCTGTAGGAACGTCTGTATGAACCCTGATATATTCACAGTCTTTGCTCTGCACTTTGATAAAAACA